TCCCCTTAGCTCGTGTTTAGAGGTTTACTTGCTGAGTACCGTGTGGTTTGGTACTCACCCCTTGCTTCTACAAATTTGTGTAGGTTACGAGCCTGGATTTTTGTGGTACTTGTTATTCTCTTCTTTTCCGAGGCTTCTTGGAGATTTGTGAGGTAGCTGTTTGTCAACTCAACAGACCTTCTTACTCCTGTTTATGATCTTGTTCTACTCTAGAAACAATGTCATATGAGACTTGTGTTGTTCTTTTGAATCAATTGTAATACTTTAGAGGCTTGTACACGTGACAACCAGATTTTGGGGGTATATTTGAGTTTATTATAAAATTTCCGCATTTTATTGTAATGGTTGAGTTTTAGGCTGACTTGTCTTGGTGGGTTAAGACGAGTGCCATCACGTCCATTTTTGGGTCGTGACAGTTCAAAATATTGGAAAAGTTGCAACCCCTTCGGAAAGGTCATAACCTTTCATAAAAGTCGCAACTTTTCATAAAAGTCGCAACTCTTCATACAAGCGCAACTCTTCATTAAAGTCGCAACTTTTCATAAAAGTCGCAACTTTTCATGAAAGGGGAAGGCTAGTTTTGGAAATAAATAAATTAAAAGGAAATTTTAGTTTGTGGTGGCGCCACGTAGGCGGGCCTAATATTCTTTTTTATATATGATATTTCATATATGATATATGATTATAATTCAATATGGTTAAGGTATTTTAAAGTTCGCTTTTGATTTTTTGCGATACGTTAATTTTCTATATCACCAAATTATTCTCTCCTACTTAATGCATAGCCCACATATTTTTTGAAGATATTTTCTTCCATTGACTCTTTCTCCTCCACTGTATCTTGTTTTAGCTTCAACAATGACAATAACAAAAGTTTCTCGGTAAAAAAAAGATTCTTGGCGGTAAAGGACTTTTCCATATCTGTCCTTTTGGAGAAATTTTGGATTTCTACGGTAGAAGAACTTTTCTTCTCGTACACAGAACAACAACATTCACAATGTAGTCTTTTAGAATTTAAGAGTCTTGCTTAGAGGGATATCATTCTCCTAATAGTATTTATGATTTCTCTTATATTAGTTTCTCATATATAGGCCAATCTGTCAAAAAGATTATGCATATTTTTTGTTGTCCAATTAAATTACACTAAACGAATTTGGAGGATAAAAAAGAACATTTATAATTATTTCAATATAAATAAAAAGAAAATTAAATTACAAAGAAATTTAGGAAAAAATGAATAAAGGGATAGTTTTGTCATTCAGGGGTCTTATCCAAGGTTTAACAAACGTTGGATTACTTATCCCTCCATTTCCTAGGGATAAAATAAGACCACATATGGTGTATAAGCAATCCATGGATTAAATAAAATAAACTAACCAAACAATGTATTAGATGGACTAAATGTTAATCCATGGACTATTCTATTTAATACCGCCTACTAAACGAGTCCTAAGAGTGTCAATTTTTAGTACTCCAAGTTGACTTTGTGAGACTCGGTCAACAATCCACTCATACTACATCAAAAGAGATATTTAAAAGCAATAGATTTTCCTTTTAGCGGAAATTGAGTTAATGTCATTGCATTCAGAGTTGCTAACAACTTAAGCAATGTTTATATATAGTGTTGGTTATACATATCATATTTATTATTGCCGCTAAATATAACTTAACGGTTATTATATTATTATCGCTTAATCCTTTATTTGTCGTAGTGTCACAGTATTTTCTTTTGCTAGTTTCTGTCACTTGCATCCCACCCACCCACTACCCAATGAATAATTGTCAAGATAATCCTTTAAGAGCCCAAAAATTCAATAAGTGTAGGCAGGAAGAAAATGTGGAAGTAAAACAAAGTCAAAATCGTATATCAGATTGTCTATTTACCTATGTGTTTTGTTTGGTAAAGAGAGAATGGAAGAAAGTCACAATAGCGTTTGGCAGCAACAAAACACCTCCAATATTGTCTTTGTTAGGTTCTTGTTTCATAAATATGAACGTAGTATTTTTTTTCTTCTTTTAGTTTAATAACAAAACACCTCCAATATTGTCTTTTCGTTTTACTTATTTGCTTACCAATAGTATAATAATTTCCTTAAGATTGTTGTTCATCATGTATTTCTAAGATACTTTTTACAAAAACTTTGAAGAATTTGATAAGAAACAACAAAGTTTAAAGAGCATTTTCAGAACTAGAAAATTAAAACCAATAGAGAAAATAGAATCAGAAACACATTAATTAGAAACAATATACAAAATATTTTTCTTAAAGAAGAAAATCGAGCCCATTGAATGCACAGTCTTCCCTTAAGGAAATTATTCCCCTCAAGTACTCGAGGTTAATGGAATATATCCTTCCTGGATAGAACGATCTTACTCACCGATGTATCGGTACCTAAAACCACGGTGTTAGTGAACCACTCAGAATACTAGATTTAGTAGTAGTAGAAGAAGTCCAAAAAATTGGTTGTATTAAAATGAGAGGAAATCCCTCTATTTATAGACAACAAATGATAGTGTGAACAGATGCTTATTGTGCCTTATCGGAAAGGTCACACCCCTTTGAAAAGTTACAATCCTTCGGAAAGGTCACAAATCTCAATATTTGTAAGACTGAGGGTGTGTTTGGTATGAAGGAAAATGTTTTCTCGGAAAACAAGTAGATTTCTAACTTATTTTCTCATGTTTGGTTGGTGAATGAAAAATATTTTTCAGAAAATATCTTTTATTTTTTGCTTGAGACTAAAAAATACTCATTAGGAAAATAATTTCTGACCCGAGAATCTACCCATGTATTTTCAGCCTGGACTGACGAATCTCCTTATAATTGATCTAGGATCTGACCCCGACACCCAAACTATGACAAGACCCTGATGACCGTTCCAAAATCCGACCTTGAGATCTGACCCAGACTTTCGACCCACAAATTTTTATTTCAAAAAAAAAATAATTGGGGGGAGGGTGTGGCATAAAAAATGAATTTTTTAAAAATTTGAAATATTGTTCAAAAACAATTTAAAAAAAAAAAAAAAAAGATTGGGGCTAGCATGAGGGGGGGCGGGGGTAGGGGGTGGAGGGTAGCGTAAAAAATGAAGATTTTTTAAATTTGAAATATTTCTCAAAAATAATTTTTTTTTTTACGGAAATGGCCTAGGTGGGGCGTTGGCGGAGGGGGGGGATAAAAGATGATTTTTTTTTAAATTTGAAATATTTTTCAAAATCAACAGTCCAGTCTCCTCCTCCATACATTTTTTCCATGGAAATTTTGAGTCTGATAATTCTCAAGTTATATTTCTTTGGCATTATTCACCATATGTGGGATTTTCATAGTGTTTAAGTATAGTCATGATTTTTTCCGACTATCACATTGTATGATAATCTCTAACTCCAAATGATTTTTTAAAATTTGAAATATTTTTTTAAAATAGAAGGATGTATAAATTATGAAAGGATATCTAGATGATAGGAGTACAAATTACAAATTATTCATCCTTAGTGTAACATAAACTATATTTTAGAACAAGTTACTGCATTATTGTGGACTGGAAAATGGTATTGGCTATGCTACAGGCAACCTGGAGGCCCTATAGTGTTGTTTAGTCTTCAGAGTGTTTTTTGGTCAAGACTTAAGAGTGTCAATTTTTAGAAAGACTAATTGTAAACTGCAGTAGATGGAAAATCACCATTCCAGCTACCATATGGTTGAAAGAAATCTGTGATGGTTTGAAAAGTGAAAGAATACATAATATGAAGTATAAAACTGAATTCATCTTAAATAGTGGAATTGACATAGGTAATCAAGCATCAATCATAAGAGGATGGTCTAATTCCACCTAGCGGCGACTATTGACAAACTGGAGCCTGATCTTTTGAAGTGTTGAAAGAGAATCTTCCATACTAATTCTTGCATCAGGTGTCACCAAAGTGCAGCTCAAAGCTAACTCTATGATAGACAACAGACACTGCATCTTTGCGTCAATTCTTTCATCCTCTAGCTGTACCAAATTAGCATCCACCACCTTAAGAATCTCATCTGGAAAAGAATCACTTACCCAACGTCGTATGCTCAACTCTCCAGTAAATCTTTCATCACCTGGTCTGATTCTTGTAAACGTTTCCATCATCAGGATGCCGAAACTATAAACATCACAGCTCGTGGATACTATTCCATCTTGTCCATACTCTGCAATCATGGTCGAAAATGATATTAAAAAAAGCTTCCTAATTATCGAGGAATATACGAAAACTGATCATATATATGGGGAAATAATTAAGTAATATTTTTCAGGTATTCTAAAAACATGAGGAAGCTGTAAAAGTTTAAAAACCTGGAGCAATCTATCCAATGGTTGCTATTGTCCTTGTTTGAACAAAAGTCTCCCCTGCACCTAACAATTTTGCAATGCCAAAATCACTGACATGGCCAACCATTTCTTGATCCAGCAAGACATTGCTTGGCTTTAAGTCACAATGCACCACAGGATTTGAACAACCACTGTGGAGATAGACCATTGCAGATGCAACATCTATCATTATATCTAATCTCTGAAATAAATCCAAGAACAAGTTGTGAGAGTATAGCCATTTATCAAGTGTCCCATTGGACATGTATTCCAACACTAAGGCTTTGAAATCAAGGTTGGAGCAACTGGTGATAACTTTGGTCAAATTTCGGTGGCGGAGATTGCGCAACATCTCACATTCTGTATCAAAACTTTTGAATGCACCCTCCAATTGCACATTGAATACCTTTGCTGCCAAAAGAGTACCATCCTTAAGTATCCCTTTGTAGACCTTGCTGAAACTCCCGTTACCAAGCAAGTTGCTTTCGCTGAATCCTTCGGTTGCTTGTTCAAGTTCATAATAGGAAATTCTTTCATGATATTTTATCAGAGACACATCAGCTTGACCTGCATTCTTTTTTTTCTTTCTCAATCTCAAAAATACATATGTGACGACTAATGCAAGAAATAGCATACCTACTCCCAAAAGGATGTACAAAACCAATATTGCCTTTTTTTTCTTTGACCTCTTGGGAGATCTGATGACACATGGTGAAACATGAAACTTAGAATCACCACAGAGCCCATAATTGGACAAGAAAGATTGATCTGTGGCATTTGCAAAAGGACCACCCGTGGGAATTTCTCCACTGAATTCATTAAATGAGAAGTTCAAGTATTTGAGATACACAAGAGCTTCTAATGACTTCGGGATTTCACCACTAAGATTGTTACTGGACAAATCCAAGTATTCCAAGGCCAGCATTTTTCTAAATGAATCTGGAATAGGCCCATCTAATTTATTATGTGCTAGAGAAAGACTAATCAATCTATCCAGACCCTCTAGAGTGCTAGGGATCATACCAAAAAAATCATTTTTTGACAGATCAATGAGTGTTGCAGCCTTTAAATTTCCAATCTCAATAGGAATTTTGCCATGCAATAAATTGGATGAAAAATTGAACTCTATGAGATCAGGAAGGCTCCCCAAGCTTTCGGGTAAACTCGAATTAAGCATGTTATCTGCTAGATAAAGATATCTCATACTGGTAACTTTTCCTAAGCAAGGTGGCACGCGACCAGAAAATTGATTACCTGACAAGTATAATGCTCCAAGATTCTTTAAATTGCAGATAGAATCTGGTATGATTCCTTCTATCTTGTTGCTCTCTAGGTAAAATTCTTGAAGGTTCAGCATGCCTTGGATAGTTTTTGGAATATGTCCAGTCAAATCATTTTGTGAAAAATTTATCCTTATCGCACCGGTAAGATTACCAATTTCTCCAGGAATGGGGCCTTTCAGTTTACAGTAACATCCTTCGAAAATTTGCAGAGAATCAGAGAAATTTCCAATTGATGCTGGGAAAAAACTGTCCAGGGGATTATAACAAAAAGTGAGTTCTCTCAGTTTCCTACAGTTAGTCAAAGATGTCAGGAAGCTCAATGCTGAATCGCTGACAAAATTGTTCATCTGCAGGCCCAAAACCTCAAGGTTTTCTAAGTTACCAAGTGATTGAGGAATTGGACCTGTGAAACTGTTGATTGAAAGATCAATCGCACTGAGTCTTGAAGCATTTGAGATAGTAGCAGATATAAATCCACTCAGATTGTTTTTTGCACAAACTAATATTTCTAGGCTGGGGATCCCACTGCCTAAATCTGCTGGTAGATTACCTGAAAGCATGTTTTCGTCAAATACGACTGCCTGCAGCGCTGACATGTTGAAAATGCTTGTGGGGATGGAACCAGTAAGCTTACAGTCGGATAATGACAGAATCTGTAGTTTCTTAAGATTACCTAGCTCCACTGGTATCTCTCCTGTCAAGTGGGGAAATATATATATATATATATATATGAGTACTAAATTGGTGGAAAAGTGAAAAAGAAAAAAATTAAAAATTCTTGCTAGGAGATGCAATACTACCTCCCAAGTGCAGCAATCCAAGGTGTAAATTTGCAAGATTTGTTATGTTGCCTAACTCTCTTGGTATAGTTCCAGTGAACTCGTTTACAGACAATGACAAGAATTTGAGCTTTTTGCATTTTTCCAAGTTTGGTGGAATAATGCCACCTAGGATGTTTACTGAGAGGTAAAGCCCTTCCAAGTTTGGAAGATGGTCACATATAGTTGTTGGAAGCTCACCAGTAAGATTATTTTTGGAAAGAGCAATGATTCGCATGGTTGTAATGTTATAAATTGATGGTGGTATAGAGCCAGTAAGATGGTTACCTTCCAGGTTTAAATCAGTCATGTAATGAAGATCACCAAGTTCTCGAAGGATCCTTCGAGAAAATTTCCTGCTATTCTCAACACTTCCAGCTTTGTTAGATTGGAAAGGGAAGATGGGATTTTTCCGGAAAATTGGTTTCTATACAGGCCCAAAATGCAAAGGTCTACTAGCAAACTTAAAAATGATGGAATGGCACCAGTGAAGTTATTGCTTGAGACATCAATCAATTTCAACCTCTGCAAATGAGCCAACTCTTGGGGAAAATTCCCATGGAATCTGTTGTTACTAATATTGAGGGAAACAAGAAATGAGAGGTTTCCAAGGTGTGGAGGAATGGTACCATGAAGTTGCATACTAGAAATGTCTAAAGCTGTGACTCGATGGTGTCGGGAGGTGCAAGTGATTCCAATCCAGGAGCAAACAGGGGTGGAAGAAGACCAGTTGGTTGCTAAGATGTTGTTAGGATCGGAAGAAGAAATGTGAGATTTGAATGCAAGAAGAGCAGCTTCATCAGTAGTAATATTTGGAAGAGTAGAGAGTGACGTATGGAGCAGAATGAAAACCACAAGTGCAAAGAGAAGATTGCAACTTCTTCCCATAACTATAGCAGATTGGTTTCTCTCTTTTTACTAAAACAAGAATTGACGAGGCAAATCAATGATCTTAGATGATTTATTTAATGATATCAAATTAGTCTATGGAGTATATTTTGGTTTAGAGTGTCAATATCGAGTTAGTTCGACAAGTTCTTTTAGTGAAGAATAGACTATGGCATTAGCGATTAACATTACAGGGAAAATGTCTTTTGTCTTGAATGAGATGTGCAAGAAACTTCAACCTCAAATTTAAGTCTTGGTCTTTCTGATAAGTACTTGTGGCCTTGCATTTTGAGTACTGTCATTAATTTTTGGAGTATATTTTGGGTTAAGACTTAAAGAGTCTCAACAAGAGCCAAGTAAGAAGAAACTAAAGGAGTATTTGATTACATAAACTGTTGGCGCATTAGTCAACATGAATAGTTTTGATAAAGAAGTATGTTTTGTGTTTTGCCTAATCTTCTTCTTTTTTCCAAAGGAAATCCATTGACTTTGCAGAAGGGGACGAATATATGAACGAAGAAATAATTTGTGAAGAAAAAACTAAATTTGCTAGATAAGTCAATAGTGGCAACTTGTAACAACAAGAAAATATTTTTCGAAAAAAGAAAGTGAAAGAAGAAATTCTGAGAGAAAAAAAGTTTGGTTCATCCATGCCATTATTTTTTAACTCTGGTTTTCCAAATCAATTTTTACCTTAACAAGATTCCAAAAAACTTTTAGTACTTTTCAATTGGAGTTTTTGATTAAATGTACTTTTTTTTTGTTTCTTAACCAGCAACGATTGACTGATTAAGTGTCAAATAAAATTATTCTTTGAAAATTTTATGTTCGTTCGTGAATGTTTAATTTTTTTACGAAAATTAACAGGCACATGTCTATTTTTTTAAAATAAGAAATTACAATTGAACATAAATAAAAATAAATCATAAAAATTAGTATAAGTGTTTAAATTAATAGAGGACGGCTGACCTAGGGTTTTAAGCCAGCAGCTGCGCAGCTCTCATGGCTGCTACGACCACTGGACGGCCTTCTTTCGAGGCTGTCCAGCCCGCCCCACCACCCCAAACCACCACATACGCCACCCTTTTCAATTCCAATACTATAAATCCTAAACAATCTGCCCTAATTAACTCAAAAACAATCGCAAAACCAATTGAAATAATTCATGGAGAACCTACTAGCACGTTTTCAATGGAGGAAAGGCAAGACTTTATGATTGAAGAGGGATTGCATCAAGCAGTGGTGTTTAAATTATCCCATGGTGCGCCAGATTTGAAGGTATTAAGGTCAATTTTACCGAAACATCATGGTACCAAGGGCAATTGTTTAATTGGCTTACTTGCTCCAAGACAAATTTTGTTGAGATTTGATCAATATGAAGATTATGTACTAGCATTATCTCGCTCAGTTAATTATCTTCTCTACAATGGAGAGGAGCACCAATGTAGGGTTTTTCCATGGTCCATTGGATATAATCCTAAGGAGGAAACGACGTTAGCTGTGGTTTGGATTTCTTTACCAAACTTATCTCCAGATTTGTTTGCAAAGAAGTCTTTGTTGTCTATAGCATCGGCAATTGGGAAACCAATAGCTATAGATAAAGCTACTCAAATCAAGTCAAGACCTAGCACAGCTGGGGTCAAGGTTATACTTGATCTAATGGAAAAGCTTCCAAATCGTATAAGATTGCAGTTTGTAGATGGAAAATCTGGTAAGTTGATCGAAGTTTTTCAGGAGATTGTATACGATAATCTACCTTTGTATTGCAATTATTGTAAGCACCAAGGTCATGATGAAGATAGTTGTCGTTTGATCTCAAAAAGAAATCAAAATAACAAACAAATTGATGATACCATTGAAGTTGCTACAAAAGGTACTATTGATAGTGAAAAGTATCAAGGTGATGCGAGAGAAATACTAAATGAAAAAAGAAAGGTTGTAGATATCAATCAAAGTAAAGCTACTTCATTAGATAGGCAGTTGGTTGATGTCCCTTCTGAGCAAAATCGTGCACACTCAATGGATGTTGTTACAAGTAATATTGGTGTTCAAACAACGACCGAAAACAAAAGGGGAACACCAAGAGTTGGGGTTGATGCGCCGCGAGTTGGTTCAGGCAAAAAAATAATGGATTCAGGACACAAACTAATGGATACATCTGATGTTGAAGATGCTGAAAATTCTGGGCAGCATGTTTTGCAAGTTGAAACCAAGAATGCAACTACAAATTGGACACTGGTTGCACAAAAAAAATCAACTAGTAATCGGAGCCTTTCCCCGACTAGTCAAAATAATTCTCCATGTAGTGAAAAGGGTGCGACTGGAAATTTTTTTGATAGTGAGAAGAGGCAAGATATTAGTAATGCCTCAAGAGACCTATTATGTTCGAATAGCTTTGATGCTTTATCGAAGACTACTGGACAGCAAGTAAAGTTAACAGAGAATGATAACGATTTGATCCAAGAAAAGCAGGTCTCACCACCTACTTTGAATAGTAAATTAAGTCCAGAAGCTCCCGTATTTGTGCCTAAATGTGTGATTGCAAAGAAGAATGAGTCAAGGGTCTTAGTGTCAAATACAATTGATTTGGGCGAGAATTTTCTTGATGAAAATGAGGAAGACAATATGCTTGATTTTGGCGAGGATTCTCTTGATGAAGATGAGGAAGATATGCTGGACATGTGCTTTGATAGAGTGGCTAGGGAAGGAGATATATCACCTAGGCAACAAAGAAGTGGAAGCAACAGAAGCAAAAAGAAGACACATGGAAGGCAACATAGTTGGGACGGTAAAATGACTGAGGAGTTTGTTCCAAGGCACCTACCGATGCGACAGGCAAAGCAGAACCATTTGACAGTATCAATAGGTTCAACAAGATCCAATAAATCCATAAAGAAAGTATGAATTATCAAGTGTTGTTGGATAGGTTTGAAGAAGAAGACAAGAGAAAAATACTTCAAGTTACTTTTGATGGGCAATCAATCTTTTTTAATTCATGCGTTTGCAATAGAAAGTTTGAGGCTGGTAACTCAACTTTCTTCTTGATTGACATATTTTTACATTATTTAAGCATCCTCATTTGTAATATCATCATGCAGTGTATTACAAACTCTGTGGTGATCAGAAAATACTTAGTTCTCTCTAGCTCTTATTTTCTTCATGCTTGTTAGGTAGTAGACACTTCATTAAGATTAGTAAGGTAAGGCCTAGCCCCCCTTGCTTGCACTTATCTCTATTGATATTTTTTATGTTTAATAAAAGGCCACTAGACACTATCTAGTGGTAAATTTGCGGGAAAAATAAATAAATAAATAAATAAATAAAAAAGTGTTTAAATGATATAGAAAAAATTGGAGTTTAAGGGTTAAAATGGAACAAGGCTAAGTTGAAGTGCCAAAATGAAAAATGAGGGCAAATTTGAGGGGTTGTGTATGTGTTTGGCCAACACTACTAATATTCTCCATTCATTCATT